ACTCGGGCTTCCCCGGGCGCCTCCGCCGCCGAGGGCTCCGCGCGGGCAGCGGGCCTGGTCTCCCGCGCGCCTCGCCGCGGCCCGGCCGTCCCGTCCCAGGAAGTGGCCGTCCCGAGCGCCATGGCTCATTCCCCGGTGCAGTCGGGCCTGCCCGGCATGCAGGTAAGCGGGGGCCCCCGGCCGCCGAGGGGCAGGAATGCGGGGGCTCGGGCGGAAGCGGGGAACTTGGCGGTGTAAACACGACCCCCCCCCCACGCTCAGCCTTCCGGGGTCGCGCCCGAGCCTTCCTCGGCGCGATCTCTGCTGCTGCGCGCGGGGCCCGGCCGGGGACGAAGCTCCCCGAGCGTACGGCCGCCCCGCCCGCAGCCCGGGGGTCCCGGCTCGCATCCTGGGGGACCCGGCCCCTCGGCGCGGCCGCTTTCGGGGGTGCGGAGGAGGGGCCCGGCGGCTGCGGCCTGAGTCTGGCCCCGGGTGCGCCGTGTCGGCGGCCCTCTCGCCCGGGGAGTCGTTAGGGAGGAATGTGGGGGAACCGGATGAGGTTGCCCGCCGTCTCACCTTGTCCCCCCCAAGTCCCCCGGAGCTGCAGGCCCCGCGTCGGCCCCATCCCCTGGGGGAACTGGTCTCCAGAAATGCCTTTGAAGAGGGCCCAGCTTGATCTCTGGGCCCAGTGTGCGGACTGGGGGTGGTAGAGACATCTCGGGGCCTCAGACCCCCACCCCGATCGCGTGCTCCCAGGGTCCCCAGCCCCCCGGAGAGCGGGTGGTAAACTTGGGAGGAGAGCGGGGAGCGCGCCTGGACCTGCTGGCCTGCGCCTGCCCTGGTCTGGGGGGGAGAGGCGGCGTTCAGAGGGTCCTGGCTGCTTGCACTTGTAAGAGATTTGGTTTCTGGTGCAAACACCTGGCCAAGTGTGAGCTTGTGAAGCCGGAGTCCTGCGGCGTGCAGCGCAGTCGCCTCGTATACTGGGGACACTGGACTTGCACTTTGAGAGTTTTCTGGGTTTAGATGAGCTATTTCTAACAAACTCTCCCCCTGGCCTATCAGGGCTTCTCTTGAAAGGAAGAGTTGAGTTTCGCATTTACATCACTGCGTTAGTTTTCCTTTTCCCATCCTTGATGCCTGCTTCTAGCTAGCCCTTTGAAAAAGAAAATCATCCTTGTGTAGCTTGGAATTTTCTGATGTCATGGTGAAACGATTAAGATTAAACTCTTCTCCGTTTAGGCGTTTGAGGATGTCTTCAAAAGTTTTGCATGCACTCCCTAACAGTTTAGCAAAGCATGTGGAGATGAGGGCTTTATGAACAACCACAAGTGTTCCAGTGTATTGTCTGTTGTTGCTGTGTAGTTGCTAATGGACTCACTCTTTTTACCCTCACAGTGAAACGCTGTGTATGTGCAAACCTGTAGTCAGTTTTACAAGCCCACAATCGACTCTCTTCAGGTAGATTCCTGGTTCCCCCACCCTTTTTAAAAAAGCCCTAAATGAGAGCACTGGGTTTCATTTTTCAGGTTTCGAGTCTAGAAAAGTAGGAACTCCAACGTACCTCTTTTAATGCCAGCTGTAACTGTGGCCGAGGGTTTTAAATGGTCCTTTGTTTTTTATTATTTTTGAAGAGTAACAGTTTAATGCTCTAAGCTGTGACTAGGAAGATATTTAAAGAAAAAGATCTTTGAATTACATTTAAAGCATTTTTAAAGGTCATGTACCTTAATGACCTAACAGTCTCTTAACCTTTAGGTAGGAGTTTGATGTGTTTCCTTGTTATTTTTTTCAGACTCTTGGTTTGATTTGAATTTAGAGCTATGAACCTCAGGGTGAGTTGGCTGAGGAAATATTTATCAGTAAAATGAGGTGAATCTCCTGTAATAATTGAAACAAAACAAAGTTCTCTAGTATTTCCTTTTGATATTTTGCATTTTAATCAGACTTTAGTCTTGCACAGATATCTCCCTGATCATTTGCCATGGTGAACTGACGGTCAGTCAGTCGGTTTGAAAAAATATTTAGAGTCTGGTGCTGCGTGTACATAGCCCATGATCACCAGTTGGTAGCTGTACTCAACATTTACTGTCTCCACTTTTTAAAAAAAAAAAAAAATTAAAAAATGAGTACTGGCCAAAATTCTTAAATCTCAAGAGAGTAAGCTTCCTATAATAACTCTGCTTCCCAAACAAAGTATATGCTCTGAGTGGTGGTCCAAGGAGACTATTTTTATTTTGTGTACTTAGTGGAAAATAGATGGGAACTTTTTTTGTCTCAGTAGATAAGAGAACCACATTTTTAGTTGTTAAAGCTTTAGAGGTGCAAAAGTGGCCTGTGACTGTCATTTCTGTAGTAAAATACATCTACAGAGTTTAGGATGGTAAAAGTTTTGGAGCATGCTGTTTGGGGAAAGAACATCCCTTTCTCCCCCCCCCCCCAAAAAAAAAAAGAAGAAGAAGAAGAAGAAAACAAGCAGCACATTTATTTTCTACTTTGAATGAGCAGCTGCTACTACCCTGGAAAGCTTCCTGAGAGGGTTAGAGGATTAAATAAAAGGCGTAACTGCCTTTGACTTTTATGTAGGAAAAAACAAGTGGTTGGCCTAACCCTGCTGATGTCTTCCATTCTCCTTATCTTTCTTGTCTCATGATTTTATAAAACTTAAAACATTTCAGAAAGGTAGCATACTGAATTGAGGTGGCCTAGACAAGGATCATTAAAAGAATAAAAACCTTTAGTGTAAATACTATTTTCCAGTATCTTACAAACAATTTTTATGTTTTTGTTTTTCCTGGTAGTCCTTGACTTATAGAAAATATTTATGTTCTTTTATAGATGGTTATATATGGTAAATTATATAAACTTTTTTGGATATTAGATTCATAGCAATACATGATTTTTGAAGTTGATAGCTTATCCATTTTTGGTGAATGCTTCTGATGGATGAAAGGTTTATTTTTTTAAAGGTTTTATTATATGTGTGTGTGTGTGTGTGTACACCGTCAAATCTGATCTGACTGGTAAAGGAGGAGATTGTTCCTCCTCCAGCAGAGCATCTGGGGGTTTTGAACTGTGCTTCTCTGGGATTGCAGTGTAGTTTCTTGCCACTAGGCCATCAGAGGGCTCCCTTGAAAGGTTTTAATTTTTACAAGGTCTGTTTTTTATTTGTTTTGTCTTGTTCTGTTTATTACTGTATTGTTGTTATGTGCCGTGTGGTCTGCTATGACTCTTAGTGACCCTACGTGCAACATTTCTGAACCCTGCTCTATCCTGAGCCAGTCTCATTGTCTCTGACACATCTGCCTGCATTTCCCCAGTTACTGTGTCAGTCCATCTTATCCGAGGTCTTCCTCTACTTTCCTGTCCCTTGACCCATGGGAGACCGGTTCCTCCTATCTACATGACCAAAGTATGTAAGATGGAGTCTCAAAATTCTAGCTTCCAAGAAGCTTATTTTCACCCTCTCCAGGACAGACCTTTTAGTTCCCTTGAGGGTCCATGGTATGCCCAGTACTCTTCTCAAGCACCACAGCACAAAGGCATCAATTCTTCCTTTTGTCATTCTTGGTCATTGTCAGCTCTCTGATGTATAGCAAGTAATTGTGAAGACCATGGCTTGGAGAGGTTCACCTTAGTTTCAAGACTGACATCTTTGCTCTTTAGTACACCAGAGAGTACCTCTCTAGAGAGTCCCCTGGCAGTAGATTTCCTTAATGAAATTCACCTTTTGATTACCTGACTGATGGTGACAAGAGTGTTGGTTGTGGAACCAAGCAAGCTGAAATTGTTGACAGTCTCTTATTCCATCTGTCATGATGCTGCCAATTGGCCCAGTGGGGAGAATCTTTGTTTTCTTGACATTGAGCTTAGTGCTTGAAGTTAGACTTGGCTGCATAGGCCCTGCTTGTGCATCTAAAGATTCCGTGGTTTTAGTTTTCACGTTTACATCCTTAACACGTTGCCATAAATGACGGTAATACATCGGGGGGTGGAGGGGGGAATGTTTCTAAGCAGGGTCCTCAGTTTAAAAGTGTGCGGCCACGTGTTAATCCATTTTGAATTTGTTTTTCTCTAACCTGTTAATCCATTTTGAATTTGTTCTTCTCTATGGTGTGAGGCAAGGATGCTTTTTATTTTGTGCACAGAAATTGAAGCACAGTATATTGAAGAGACTGTTCAGCTGCAGTGTTCTTTTACCAGTTTTGCAAACATTTCAAGTTCTATTTCATTCCATATTGGACTTGCTCTTTGAAGAAGTATGAAATCTGAAATTGATTTTTTTTCACTGTGCAACTCCTGTTGAGGACTGAGTTCTAGGTGAAAGGTTAATGGTGGTAAAGCTGTATGAATTATGTAAAATACTTAATTCTTCTTGCTCTCCAGTTTTATAGGGAGAAATTGAAATCATGAAGTGAATGTAGCAGCTATAATTAGACCCCAGCAAATTAAGCTGATTTATGGACAGAAGTCCTCCCTGCCCTGTCCCTCCTTGAACTTTATTATTTCGTTTATTTTAATCTAGATTTAGAGAAAAGCAGGCTTCCTCTGGAGGTTGGAGCACTCTTGAGTTTTTAGTTTGCCCCATGGGGTTTCTTGGGCAGTAATTTTTGCAGAAGTGGACTTAACTCATTCTTTTCTCACAGAGGGGCTAGTGGCTTCCAACCACCAATCTTTTGCTAGCAGCTGAGTGCTTCACCAGTGTGCCACCAGGGCTCCTTTTAGTGTGATTTGAGAATCATTGGATTTTGGCGTGTAAACTTCTATCACAAAAGTTTATTGGCTTATAACTTTTCTGGAACATGACGTGGTAAGATCTGTATTTTTTTAATCAGGAAAACATAGGTTTCAAGAGACTAGTCCCAGCTGCTTGTGTGTATTTTTTGCGGTATATTTAGGTTGGTTTTTTTTTTTTTTTAAAAAAAAAAAAGCTGGTTATACCACTATCCTTATGTAGCTCGTTGGTTCAGGTCCCACAGTTGGGAAAATTACCGAACTGCGTGAGTCACATGTATAGTAGGGCCTGACTGGGTTAGCAAGGTTTAAGGTTGCTATAAATATGCCTCATATTTGAAGATTTCTGTTTATTAATCGCCCGTCTATCCTGTTTCTCAGTTCTGTTTTCTTACAGCTTGGAGAAATAAACCCTAGCTGAGAAAATGCCTCTGTGTGTTGGGATAGTGAGA